CATGAACGACTATATCTGCTTCAACGAACACTTGCAATGGGAAGCTCCGCTTCAGCATATATATTCAAGATCAAGCAACGTACAGATTCTATAAGACTATATATATATATATATATATATATATATATATCACTACCTCAAACCTTGAAAGGCTAACTTTTGATGAGAAGAAAAAGAGAGACAGCAAACCCACAAGACAGAGAGACCAGACTTTTAATATGTAAATGTGATAGAGTATTTACTAACATTTAGTCATGCCGGGACAAATATGTTCCAGTGGACTTGTTATTGACCACTTGTAGTTGAGGGTAGAAATTGTATTCATTTTCAAATGGCATGTTTTTAAAATGAGCATGTTTAGATAAACTTTTTCAAACACTTATAAAAGAAAAAATATTAAAGAAGAATATTTTTTTCATTAGTTATAATTAACTTATGCAAAGCCTAAAAATTAGTATGCAAAAATTTCTATAAATTAGTTGATGCATAAACTAATTTTGGTTCATAAAAAAACATCTTTCATTTTTCCTTCATGTATTCTCTTATAATTATTTATAAAGAAGTTTATTCAAAGACACTAATCAATTTCCATTAAACAGACAGATTTTAATTAAGTTTTTGCCTGTAAACAATCAACAAAGGTTCATGCATCATCAATTGCGTGAACTTTGATACAACTACAATAGCCACCATTATAACACATCTGGTCTTGATCAAGGGCTAAGTTATGTTTAATTTATAATGATTGGTTTGAGGCTTGAATCCCTCTAAATTTGAAAAGAGTCGCACGTCCAAGCTCAGTTCATATAAAATTTGAAGAGAATTGCATGGAAACAGCATTCAATCCTACAGAAGATTTGGTAATTGCTAAAAGCTCGGTTCATATATTTGAATAACATTCTCGGTTTACTTCTCCCTAAAAAATTGTTTGACTCCATCCAGGTAAGCAGAATGAAGAGAGATAGGGACCTTTATTTCCACAACTTCCGCTGCATTTGCAGTTGCAACCAATCCCCTTAAAAAATCTCAAGGATTATACCCACTGCTTACAACTACTTAGATGTGATCAAATGCTGCAAAGAATTTTATTCACCATAGCTATGAAATGACAAAGGATCCACACAGTTAATGATTGTAACTTGTGGCTAAAGCAAAATGATGGTATATGATCTTACGAGAACAAAATGGTATCAGTGGAAAGTAACTTACATTATTCTTTAATGTTTTGATAAAACATTCAAGAGTGCTTTTGTAACTAGAATCTCCCAGCATTCTCGATTTAACCTGCATATATACCAGAATGAAGATAGAACAACAAAATTAGTGGAAAGGTCACTTGATCACCTTACAACCAAAAACAAAATGGGGTAAGAAATTATACACATTCACTGCAATGGACCTCAACAAGATCAGATGTCAACAACCAATTCTTAATAAGCTTTAAAAGTTTAATAATTCTACCATTTTCTAATCATCCTGGGATTCTTAAATTCATCATGGTGTAACAGGGAATATCGAGTGCAAAATTCATTTCAAATTGAAACAACTATTAACACACTACATACAAAACGCTGAGGCAGTAAAAAATAAAAAGTCAAATCAACAATGGTTATTCTTTAGTAAATGCTAAAACATTACCACATCAACTGGGGAGTCAATACAAACAGCAAAAAACCCTGCCCCAAGACCAGCAAGGAGATGAGTAACAACATTGTCAGTGAATCCTGGAATTTTCAAGATAGTCTGCATAAAACAACGTAGTTATTTACAATTATAAAGAAGGAGAAAAGTTTGATCCACAGTGTTGGGCCTCAAGAAACTTTTAAATTACCTGCTTCAATTGAGCACAGCTGGCTAATTCAGCAGCATTGATGATAGCATTTCTTGCTATATTGGGGCCAAGCCCGGTCCAAAGAGCTTGAACTCCTTCCTGTGTGTAGATGTAGGTTAGAATAAAAATAATTACAACAAAAATGAACCAAATACATTTTTCTCTTCAATAAACTGTATTGGGTTGCACAGACCTGTCTCACAATTGTTGAATAAGCATTTAAAGATCCAGAATAGCATCTGGGAACACCATGAGGTAATTTCCCTTCTGCTTGAAGTCTAACTTTGACCAGATCAGTTGGATTTGCCACTGCAATTGGCACAACTGCTCTTGACAATACAAATTGAAGGAGTTCATAATTGGGTAATTGCGATGAGTATTTAGATAGGAATAACACAAGTTCCTACCAAGAAAAAGTAAATATTCATAGATTAGGAAATAAATTCATATAATAACAAATATACAAATTATTCCCAATATTTCCAGCATTGGGCTTTACCAGTTGTAAATGCAGCAAGAATTTTCTTTGACAATGGAACATCTCCAACATCGTCCTTTCCCACATAGAAAGTCTTAACCTGTTAACAACACATGTGATGTACAACATAAGATAACACAACCAAACAGTATATAAACTAAAATAAATGAACTATATTCAGCAACAATATTCAAAACTCACTGGCTCATATAACCCAATTCATAAACCTGCATACAAACATTGATGATGTAACCCTGACACAATGCCCTTCCAGAGAGGTGAAAGACCTTCTTCTCTGGCAATGGTTGCCACTGTACCCAGCATACCCTTTATTTAGGTAAGGAGACTACATCACCAGCTACAGCTTGTTTTTGAAGTTTAAGCCTAACTTTGGCAGTGTCCAATGTAACATCCCAAATCTTTTACATAGTTAATTATTATTATTTTATAATTATGGAGCTTATTTAATGAAATTTTATAGAATGTTTTAGAGATTTTTTTAAATGATTTAA